AGGAGGCCATGATTGGTTAGGGCCAATGGGGAAATTTGGCCAGGACGCCGGGGTTACACCCCTACTCTTTTCGAGAAACGCCCTGGGATTTTTAACGACCACAGAGAGTCAGGACCTCGGTTTTACGTCTCATCCGAAGGACGGATTAAGCTTGCGCAGTACATCATTTGAATATCACAGGTGATTAATTTTTTTTTTTCTTCCAGAGTTCAGTAAAAGGAGATCTTGATGTTATCCTGGAGTTTTTAGAAGAGCATAACAGGCAGCAATATGGAAATAGAAACTGCTTGATTTGTGGTAACTGTTTTTACTTGCTAAATAGACCATTATAAAAAAAAACATTTGTTACAATCAGTGTAAGACAATAAGTACACATCACAGACAGGTGCATATGTTTTGTCAGCTGAGGTACATAACAGTACAATAACAGTAAAAATAACAGTACATATAGGCTTTCAGTGACACATAAAATGACTCAATTTCTCACTTCTCAGGAAAAGTGTTTTGATATAAAGTATTATTATCATTGTTAATAATAATGGCATTTGCCATACAAGGTGAAGCTAAGGTGCAGGATATGCCTTTTGTCCTGCCTCTCAGTACTGAACATAGGACATAAATATACCTTTTAAACGATGTGTTTCTTTGGAAATATTGAGTCCACACTCCAGAATTCTTGAAAGCTTTCCCAAGCAAAGAAAATAGAACTGAAATTAAACGTTTGACATTAAGGGCCAGAGACAATTGCAGCAGGCTGCTCAGAGTCAGTTGTATTGTTATAAACAGTGGTAAACGCCAATGAAACTGTGGCCTGGTAGCTTTAAATGAGTGAGCATCACTGTGCAACACCTTCACTGCAGCTGTCCTGACATATTCCAAAGTTCGACTTACAGTGGGTTCTCAGTCAGACCCCATGTTTATCACATATTATACTGAACAGAGTGATTTTAGCGCTCTGCAATGAACTGGCGTCCTGTGTGTGTGTGTGTGCCCTGCGATGGACTGGCGTCCTGTCCAGGGTGTGTGTATCTGTGTGTGCCCCGCGATGGACTGGCGTCCTGTCCAGGGTGTGTGTGTCTGTGTGTGCCCTGCGATGGACTGGCGTCCTGTCCAGGGTGTATCCCGCCTTGCACCCTTTGCTTGCTGGGATAGGTCCAGCTCCCCCATGACCCTGTACTGGATAAAATGGTTAGATGGATGGATTTTAGTGTCTGCCATGCATTGTACCACAATACCGTACTGGGTACTGTATGCAGAACAAATGTTTTGTTTTACTTAATAATTTTTAAATGGTGCCTTGAGACTATACAGTAGGTGCATCAAGCCAACACCATCATACAATGGACATCATCACGCTGTTGTCTACTCACTGAATTATGAATGCCTGTCGTGTTTAAAGAGCTCTGCTTTGCTTTCTTGTACAGAGAACCATATTTTTGGGAATAACTGCCAAGAATGGTGCGAGGGTTCAGAAACTGCGGCCACACTCTCTTTCCCATTCCCAGGGGGCCACACTGAGCAGGTACTACATGCTACCAGCTGCGCCTTACTTTCTCAGTTATGTTTCTTTCACATTCATACTTAAATACTACTGAATCTGTATACACTGTATCACTGACAGGTTTGCATGGAAAACCACATGAGAGATTTCAAATGAATTGTGTAATTGTGAGTTGTGAACAAATACAGTATGGAAAGTATTCACACTAACTAAGTACTAACTAAGGTACCAATTACATGGTCATTAAAGATCTCATGGCACCTTGTAAGAGTAGGGGCACTAGCCCCACTATCCTGCCTAATTCCACTCTGAGCTAGTATGATCCGGCCCCTCTAAATGACCCTCTGAATTCAGAGGGTGAAGCAGTTTCTCCTGCAGTTTTCTACCTGAACTGCTGTGCAGCGAGGCTGCTGGTTCAGAAGAGCTGCTGTGTCTCAGCCAGGTAGGGGCTGCATTCACAGAAGAGGGTTCCCTCCTCTTTGTAAAGCTCTCTTGGATCCTTGCATCCCGAAGAGGTACATGTTCTATTTATATTGGTGCTGCTGTTGTGATTGTTATGAATCCATAAATTGTCATGAATTAATAAAAGCTCCTGATTACTGCTACAAATGTAGTCTCAGCAGCTATCCAGAAACATGAACTTGAAGTTAATTGCAGTATGTGTCTACAAGTAACCAAAAAGACAAGTACGTCTTTCTGGAACAAGCCATTAGGCCAATGGTGTTTTTCAGAATCTCGGGTTCACATGGGTATGCGCCCTCACCGCTGCCACCTCAGGTCAGCCACCCCACTGCTGGGAACTCGAACCCAGGCCTCCGGCGTCACACAACAGGGACCCAGCCAGTTGAGCTAAAGGGAGATCTCCCGTCTCCCGTCTGCTACTCGCTCAGCATTGATGCTCAGTTGCCCTGAGACCCGCCTAGCACCAGGTCACTCCTGTCCTTGGCCTGAGGGCACAGGGATTTTAAACGGCTTTTCCTGAACAGCTGAGCCCGGGCTAACCCCCGTCTCGCCGCTACTCATAGGGTCTTAATCGCTCTCCTGCCTCTCCACGGTTCATCCTTTCGGACATACGTGACACCCACAATGTCCACCAGATGCGTTACACCAGCAATCAATGACTGGTTCTCCCCCCCTTGGCAGGACAATAAGCTTTTCTACTCAGAACATGTGAAATGGCCAGAGGACTCAAAAGATACTCCCTTCACAAGCTCTTTTCCTGCAGACATGAAAATAACTTGCTACAGTAGTGAAAAAAGTAAGTTGTTTTTTTGCCTTTCGTGGGGTAACTTCATTAATGCACATGAACCAACTTGTTAACGCTGTTTTAAACATTTAGAGTTTATACAAGAGTAGAAAGGCACTTAGTTCCTCATTAGCAGAGTACTATCAGATGGCACTACGTTAATATACAGTATATTACAGTTTTTTCTGGATTCATACTTGTAATTTGCCACCTCTTTTCTGAAATGCTCCTTTTTGTAGGAGGAATAAATAAGGAGCCAAACATTATCCATTAATTCATAGGCTCTCAAGTTAGAATGCAGGGTCATACTGTGTCGGTGAGTACAAGGTGCAGCTGTTGATTACTTAGTATGTTGGGATAAATGCCAATTCTTTCACTCTCCGGTAGAACACCTCAGCACTTGCTCTGCGTATTTCCTTTGTTGCCTCACCTCGCAGAGTTGTGATGAAAGCACAGAGTGCTCTGTATTCTGACTGCCCTCCTCATTTCCCATGACAGGGAAGAAGATCCGACTGTTTCAGTTCCTGTTTGAGATGCTGGAGGACCCCAGAATGGCCAGTTTCATATCTTGGGTCAAGCCCTCCGCTGGTATATTCCAGTTCTCTGCGCAGAACAAAGACGAGCTGGCCAGGATCTGGGGCCAGTTCAAAGGCAACAAAAAGGTCATGACCTACCAGAAACTTTCCCGAGCCTTGAGGACCTACTCCAGAACAGGAGAGATCACCAAGGTGAAAAGGAAACTAACATATCAGTTCAGTCTGGTTGTTTTAAGGTCACTTTGGAAGATTAACAC